GTTGACTCCCTCAACCATCCCAATGATCCTGTTGTTGTGAACATCAAGAAGATCCTCAATTTTAGCTTCCTCAATCCTATTTTAATCTTAACTGGTAAGATGTGTTTGTAGGCCACAGAGGTGAACATCTCTGCTCTGCATCTTGGTTGCTTGCTGGAAAGGCACTCATTCTAGGCTGCACTTCATTCTTGATTCCAACGATATCTGAGTAACATTCCTGTGTTTTCCCCATGTCTTGCACTTTTCATCTTTCCATAAAAATTAGCTGAGAGGAGAAAAGAAAAGAAAAATCAGACTGGGTGTTTCATGGCTGAGAAAAGTTGTTTTGCCACTAATTGTTCAGTACCTAAGATCCTTCACTAGAAATTTAGACCTTCTTTCCCTAAACTAACATTACTCAAGGTCTTCATTGGCTACCATCCCAACCTGTGTTGGTTGGTAAATTATGGGGAAAGTACGGTAGAAGAAAACTTTTGCAATAGCTATTCAAGCTATAGCTTTATTAAATTTCTAGTCTAATGAAGAGAAGGACGAGGGGGGACATGATAGCAGTGTTCCAATCTCTCAGGGGCTGCCCCACAGAAGAAGGAGTCAAGCTATTCTCCAAAACACCAAAAGGCAGGACAAGAAGCAATGGATGGAAACTAATCAAAGAGAGAAACAACCTGGAAGTAAGGAGAGGTTTTTTGACATGGAGAACAATTAACCAGAAGTTGTGGGTGTTCTATCACTGGAGGCTTTTAAGAAGAAATTGGACAGCCATTCGTCTGGAATATAGGTTTCCTGCCTAAGCAGGGGGTTGGACCAGAAGACCTTCAAGATCCCTTCCAACTCTATTATTATTATTATTATTATTATTATTATTATTATTATTATTATTATTATTATTATTATTATTGTTGTTGTTGTTGTTGTTGTTGTTGTTGCTGTTGTTGCTGTTGTTGCTGTTGTTGTTATTGTTTTACTCAATCAATTTTACCCTGCCTCGATCAGTATTGCAACTCTCTCACAATAGACCTGCAACTTTGCTAGAGTCTTTCTCCTAAAACAACCAAATAAACAAAAAGGTTAATGGGAGCTTCCTGCTGTGTTTTTCTCACTGTGTTGCAGCTTGGTTGTGTTCAGGCAAATGATCTGTTTTTTCCCCACTCCCCCACCCCTCCCCCAGTTCTTTTCCCATTCCTTACTCCAGTGCTGGAAAAGCTCAACTTTAGCACGTTTCCCAAGTCTTCGATAGACTTCTTCAATGGTGTCATCAAAAAAATCAAAGAAGATCGACAAAAGGAGAATCACACGGTCAGTCTAGACTATTTGTCTCATGGTTGGTCTTGTTCCGTGGACTTTGTGACCTGGATTTTGTGCACTCGGTGTATGTTTGTGCATGCCAGGCAGGTTTCAGAACTGCCCGTTGAGTTTCAAACACCTTCTAATAAAGGAAAATATTTGTAGCTCCGGGTTGACAAGGGGGATCCTTGGTACTCTCTGAACTTGGCGGTTTTCTTGCAGACCTTTCATGGCCCAACAAGGTAACGTCATCAGTGCTATGATGATGAAACCTCACTCCCATCCAGCCCTGATGACGTTACCTAGTTTGGGTAATGAAACATCTGCAAGAAAAACAAGCAAGCTCAGAGAGCACCTCAAACACCTTTGAAGTCTACAATGGGCAATTGGAGACATCAATGTTAGTTGTATCTCCTTAGTGACAGTGTTGGGGTCTCTCTACCATTCCAGAACCGGGTTGACTTTCTGCAGCTCATGGTGGACTCGCAGGCTGCAGCCAACACCTCCGGGGAGGCAAATTCAGAGAAAGGTAAAGTTACAGATCTTGCTTTTGAAAGGAAAAAAAAAGGTTGCTTGGGGCATATTGATGTGCATGGATGAACTCAAAATAAACATTAGCAAATGATGCTGAAGCCACGAGGTGCTGGGAGAAAGGATGGATCAAATATGTTGTAGGTTGGATGCCATGCACAAAGGCCGGCTTTACTGACATGGGATCAGAATGTTGATTACAGAGAAGGCTTCGCCTGAAAGATAATGAGATAAGAGACAATAGATGGGCAAGACACCTACATCACTCCTTCAAGTGATTATCACCTTGAATTTGCAGCTTACCTGTCTACGTTAGGTCACCCTGGTGCAGAAGGGGTGCAACTTTAACTTCAAACCTCTTTTAAGTCCTCTTGCTCTTCACACATGCCTCCTAGAACAGAGTCCCAAGGAGATCAAAAATGCTTCTATTTTAAATTGGTCACCCTTCCAGTATAACGTTAAACTATAACTAATCTTGTCTACGGTTTATTAACCTTAGCGTCGGCTTCAAACTTTGATTTTTTTTCCGGCAAAATATAGTTTCCTTTAGCCGAAGTGAGTTTGAAAGAATAGATAGAAGACTAAGAGAGGATTCTAAAGACTTTGTTTAAGTTTAATGTTGATTAAAATTACATCTTTATCTGCTCTTCCTACCCTGTGCTAATATTCAAACTGTCCCACAATTTGATAGATGTGTTCATTTGATCAAACTAGTGTTTGGTATTTTAGTTTTCCCTGCAGCTGCAAATACAGCTGCTGACGTTCTTCGTAGGATGAGAGAGAGAGAAAGCTGTTTAAAACTGTTGATCAAATCAGATCCCTGGGATAATTGTGTTACCCTGAAAGCCACAAGTCAATTTGAGATTTTGCTAGTGTGTATGTGTGTGTGTATGGTGTAATAGTGAATGTTGAGCAGATTATCACCAGCTTTTTCTATGCTTTCTTTTCTCGTCTGACAGCTTTAACAGACAAAGAGATTTTGGCCCAGTCAATAATTTTTATTTTTGGTGGTTATGACACCATCGGTATCACACTCAGCTTCGTATCTTATTGTCTGGCCACCCATCCTGATGTTCAAGAGAAATTGTATCAAGAGATCAATGAAACGTTTCCCAATCAGGTAAGAATTTATTGTGTCTTATACATCTATGTTATCTGAGGATGGATCGTTTTAGGAGCTGTCCCACCAGCCCCACACATGCAGACTTCAAGCTAACAACTTTATTATGTTCTGTCTGTAATACAGGAATCTCCCCAGGCTGGCAGCCAACTCCTGGGAACAATTAGATAAGTCTCCAAGGAACTTAGGGGGTGAAGGGTCCTAGCCCCTTTGTAGTTGTGCAGAGACTCCAAGCTAATTCCTTGTTTGATCCTTCCTCTCTGTCAAGTTGGGTGCTTCCCAGAAGTAGCAGATGTAGAAGAGCAAAACCAGATTCTTGTTCTGACAGGACAGGACTTCTTCTCCTTACTGCAAAGTTTACAAAACTGAAATGTAAACCTTGAGGAGGTGGGAGATGGCTGGCATTCTATGATTCCTGTTGTGCGAGAACATTTTCTTTAGGATTCCAGTTCTGATCCTTTGCTTCTAAACCACCTCTTGTACACCAGAATGTTATTTATTTGGTTTGGTTTTGACCTTTTATGCAGGCCCCTCCCACTTATGAGGCCATCCAACATATGGAATATCTAGACATGGTGGTGAATGAAACATTTCGTCTTTACCCTCCGGCGGAACGTCTTGATAGAGTTTGCAAAAAGACAGTGGAAATCCATGGAGTGACCATCCCAGAAGGGACTGTGGTTGCTGTCCCTGTTTTTGTCTTGCATCGTGTCCCAGAATATTGGCCTGAGCCCGAGGAGTTCAGACCTGAGAGGTATGTTGTGAGGAACACCGTTCTTCTGAAACTACTGAATAAGGGACACAGCACCATGAAGGAATCAGGGAGCAAAGTGTTGGTTGTAACATCTCAAATGAGAGGTGGATCATTCTTTGACATCTACAATGTCACGCAGGGCTTTTTTTATGATCCACATCCATAAACTGTGTGTGGAACTTAATTAACTCCAGTGGAGAAAATGATAGCTAAGCTGACTGTAGCAGCTGAGACAATGACTTGGTTTAATGTCCCAACAACTGAACGAAAAGCTGTAGGGCAACTGGCATCGAGCCACACTGATAGGAGTAGAAGAGTAAAGGTATATGAAGGTAATTATATTTAATCTTCTATCTTAGAAGATAGTTAGAAAATAATTCTCTTTTGAACAGGGATGGGGGGCCAAAATATGGGAAATAGGGTCTGTTGACTTACATTGTAGCTGTCACTAATTGGATATCATAATAGCCTCTGAGATTCTGGGGTGTAACTCCTCGACAAGCCCACATTAATTAAGCAGAAACTGCTTTTACACACTTCTCTTTATTGTTCCTCATCTGCAGACAGAATCTTGCCAAACTAAAGCAACTGCCTACATCATTAAAAAATATACTTGTCACATACATTGTTGCAATTCAGAAGATGTATTGCTGAAGTTTACACACAAGAATCTAGTCAACTAAAGTTCAACACTAAATTGGCACCAGATAACGGTCAACGCAGATTGTGGCGTTGAACTTAGACCGTGGGGACATAATGACTCCAGGCTAATGACCACACCACACACCCCCAGCCATGAGCACTCTTCTCCTAAAATACAGAAACGTTGCTCAGCCACGTTTTTTCTATGATTTGCAAATAGGTTTAGCAAAGAGAACAAAGAGAGCCGAGACCCGTATGTCTTCCTCCCTTTCGGAGCGGGTCCCAGAAACTGCATCGCTATGCGTTTCGCCCTCCTGGTGCTGAAAATGGGTCTGGTGGTTGTGCTGCAAAAATTTCGCTTCCAAACTTGCAAAGAGACACCGGTGAGTCAGGTTTTTTTTTTTTTACAGGGGAACAACTTGTGTTGGAAGCAGTCTTCTGCTCGTTCACTGAAGAGTTCACTCAACTGAATTCTGATCTCACATATATGTCTTGTACAAAGACACAAAGAGGTGATGAACGTGAAAGGAAGATCTCTTTGGAAAGACAGGGTCATCTTTTGGGGATGAGAGTCCACCGTGTGTGTGTGTGTGTGTGTGTGTGTGTGTGTGTGATTCTGCAATGAATAGCATGGATGGAGAGCCAACTTATTAACTACATTTCAATTATCATCACTCCATGTGGTTTTGCTTCTATGTCTACTGATAGTAAAGTCCTGTTTGGTGTTCACAACACCAGCGTGAAGGTCCAGACACTCCCTGTGCCCTTGTTAGTTACAACACAGACAGTGGGAAAAGACATTTGAGTTGAACAAAATACTACAGAGGCCTTGTGTAGACAGGTAAAACATTGCTCTTGGTAGTCATCTCAGGCCTCCTTTGAAGAATCACCTCTATTTAATTTCATCTCTGTGATGTTTCTTTCTCCCTTTCTTTCGGTTAATGGGGAAGATCCCTCTGGAGCTGGACAACAGAGGGTTTGTGCAACCAAAGAATCCCATCAAGTTGAAATTGCTGCCCAGAACTGTTGTAGAACATGAAGAATAGAAGATCTGGAGGCTGGAAAGAAGCCGTGGTGTCTCCCTCTCTCTTCTTCTTCTTTCTTTCTTCCTTCCTTCCTTCCCTCCTTCCTTCCATCCTTCCTCCCTTCCTCCCTTCTTTCCTTCTTTCCTTCCTGTTGTGCCTTCATGTCATATAACAGCAGCACTCTGAATCAGTGGAGTTAAATGCCTGTTTAGACATTTCCTCATGCGATTTTCAAGGAATGTTGGATGCGCCAGTTAATTTTGGGATCCCTCCAGTCTTCACTTCAAAAACAAATAATAATAAACCTGCTTATGTAATACACACATCACTTGATTTTTGAGTGACTGATGGGGTAGAAAGATGATTAAATAAACAGAAGTTTTATGAGGAGCCACTCTGCCCAGAGAGAGGAAAAGTAGAGGACACCTGTTGGTCATAAAAAGATGTTGGAATAAAAACATGCTTACATCCTGCCTAAATACAGCAAATAGAATAGAATAGAATAGAATAGAATAGAATAGAAGAGAAGAGAAGAGAAGAGAAGAGAAGAGAAGAGAAGAGAAGAGAGCTGGAAGGGACCTTGGAGATCTTCTAGTCCAGCCCTCTGCTTGAGCAGGAGAACCTATATCGTCTCAGGCAGATCTATATTGTCTTTTTTGGAGATGTTTCACTTCTCATGCAAGAAGCTTCTTCAGCTCTGACTTGGATGGTGGAGGATGGAAGGGTTTATATTCCTTGCAGACAGCTGGTAATTTACAATCTTTTAGAGAGTCCTTGAGGCCAACTTCACCTCCAAGTGGAGGCCTTTCATTCCCTACCATGAAAGGGATCATAAAATAAAGATAGTCATAGAAAATGATAAAATTAAACTTCTCTGGGACTTCAGAATTCAAACAGACAAGCACCTGCAATATCACATCCCGGACTTAACAATTGTCAATAAGAAAGACAAAAAAGTCTGGATAGTGGACGTGGCAGTGCCTGGAGACAGCAGAATAGACGAGAAAGAACTGGAGAAGATAACAAAATACAAAGACTTACAAATAGAAATAGAAAGACTGTGGCAAAAGCAAGCAAGGGTAGTTCCAATAGTAATAGGCACCTTGGGTGCAATCCCAGTGCAACTTGAGCACCACTTGTACACCATTGGCATTGACAAATTCGCCATTAGTCAATTGCAACAGACGGCCTTACTAGGAACTGCTTCCATCCTGCGACGATATCTGTAATACCATCAAACCTCCACATCTGCCTATCCCAGGTCCTTGGTAAGGACTTGATAGGTAGACAAAAATGCCAAATCCAGTCTGAACATCTGGCTGACTGTGCGATGATTAGTAATAATAATAATAATAATAATAATAATAATAATAATAATAATAATAATAATAATAATAATAATAATAATAATAATAATGTTGTTCGTCCATCGATTTTCGATGAAGACCTTGACATCTTGTGGATTGTGGGCCATCAACGGTGTGTCCGTAGATGGCTGATTAGACCGATGTTAGCACGGAATGTTCTGCCACATACTGAACAGAGAAATGTGGACACTGTTGCTTCAGCATTTGCAGCTCTGGCTTTACGGAGTGCTCGCTTCTCTTGTGCCAAGATTGTCCTCCTGTGTTCATATGTCTGGCACCCCTGGTAAACCAGGGTACGCCATGTCGGTCGATCATGCGCCAAAAATTCCCAAGTGGGAATCTTGGGAATAATAATAATAATAATAATAATAATAATAATAATAATAATAACAACAACAACAACAACAACGCAAAAGAACAGAAAAGAAAAAAAATCAAAAGAAAAGAAAGGAAAAAAGAAAAGAAAGGAAAAAAAGAAAAAGAAATGCTGTATGTAAGTGGACAGTGCCCAAGGAGAATGACCGCAATCAGTGGAGGAAGGGATCTCCTAAACCAGGGGTCTGCAACCTTGACAACTTTAAGACTTGTGGACTTCAGCTCCCAGAATTCCTCAGCCAGCACAGCTGAAATCCACAAGTCTTAAAGTTGTCAAGGTTGCAGACCCCCGTCCTAAACCACTGTTCAGATGAGATCCCTCCCTCCCCCTTCGCAAGCCTCTTCAGCACCACAACTGGACAGCTCACACAGCCTTTCGTCTGAAACCAGCTGCTTCCCATCAAGACACCTGCCGGATGTTGGCAGCTCCAGCAGGGGGGAAGTTGCAAAATATGGGAAACTACACAGCCTCGGGTTGGCCCGGTACTCCGGGGCTTGTAGTCCTAGCGGGGAGTGGCCCCGGGAGGCCGGGCTTGGCTCCTTCCCCAGGACGGTTATATAACCCCTGGACCTCCCAGACGCAACTCAGAAGCCGCCGAAAAAGCGCTCGCCATGGGAGACCCGGTCCTGGGTTGGGCGCTGGGAACCTGGGCGCTGCTCCTGCTGCTCCTGGCCCTGGGGCTGCTGTAAGTGGGGGCTGCTCGAGACCGGGGGGGTGTGTAGAGGGGGGAGAGGGGAACGGGGAAGCCCGTCCCGAAGTTGCAGGGCTCCCAGCTGGGGCGTTTGGAGAGCGGATTGGGGCTTTTGGTGGCGTAAAAACGGAAGATGGAGCCGGTTCTTGGATTGTAGTTCTGTTAACTTGTGACTTGACTTGATTTTAGTTGTTTTTTTTTTCTGCTCAAACTTTTCTTCTTTTATCTCCTCTCTTGTTCTCTCTTCCCCTTTCCTTTCTTCTCCTCTTCTTCTGCTGTCCCCGTCTCACCTCACCTCTTTTCTCCTCTCCTCTCTTCTCCTTTCTTTTCTTCTCTTCTGCTCTCCTCTCCTCTCCTCCTTTCTCTTGTCTTCCCTTCCCCCCTTCTACTCGCTGCTTGGCTCTCCT